CACATAGGAGGGGGAATGGCCAGCTCGCTCACCGCCGGCATAGAGGGGGAATGGGCGGCCGGCTTGCTTACAACCCGCATGGAGGGGGAACGGCCGGCTCTCTCCACACCGCAATAGAGGGGGCGAGTGAGCCCAGCTTGCTCACCGCCTGCATGTGTGGGGTGTGGCCGGCTCGCTCACCGCCTGCATAGAGGGGGGGTGGCCGGCTCGCTCACCGCCCGCATAGAGGGAACGCCTGGAAAAACCAATAATATAATTCTACATTTCCCAGCTCTCAGAGAGGAGTCAGACAGCTTGAAGTGTATTTCCATGTTTAGGGTTCTCACTCACACTGCATAACTTAAACAAATTGCTGCTTACATGTGTAGGTACTTTATATCTGGTCACCCCCCCATATATGTAATATGAAGGGGGAGTATGTGGCAGTCATGTTTACTCTAATGAACCCCCGTGTGTACTGCGCTGGCAGACCATCGTCCGATGTAAACTCGGATTTGAACAGCGCCTGTCCTAACGAAGGGTTAAGGACTTCAACGCATTGTATGGTAATGAGTAGTTCAGTCTGACCCTGCGTGACCCGACCTCGTATATCGGTACGCCGAGTGACTGAAGTTCTGCATTCCCAGTTTCCTGTTCTAGCCCTTAATGTCCCAAATAAGCTCCTCCCCCTCTACTCACATAGCAATGCGCCTGCTTCTCATCAGACTGCATTATGGGAAGTACAGGTCGGCATGGCCTGTGGGGGGACTTCCAGCTAGGTTAGTTGATTTTTCTAATGAGATTCCCTTTAAAAAGAGATGAAGGCTCTAGAAGGACGGACATGTTAAGTCTTACGAAGTCTCCCGACACACGGTGTACGTGGAGGATTGCAGGAGGGTCAGGCAATGAAGAGGAAGTGAACACATACCCTAGACATGCATATTAGTGGCTCCAGAGAGACAGCAGAGCTGTGGGAGGAAAAGAAAGCAGACAAGAGTGAAGGGAGGACAGGACTAGTCACACCAACAACACACAACTAGTTAGTATTACCAACTACTAAAAGAAGAGGTGACCGGAGTGACTACAAGATTCAGGAGCACCCAGAAGTCACCGAGAGGGACTGCAAGATTCCGGCTCCGCCTTTGGCATGGTCAGAACATTACATCACCAAGCGGCACTGAGCAATCAGCGTCCCGGCTCCCATCACCCAGTACCTGCTCATGGTGTCATCGTCTTCAGAATCACAGATACTGGTCTCTATCTCACTGGTGAGGAGCGTGGAGGAGGATTCATAACCAGACAGATGCCGATCAGTTCTCCCATTCAAAGCTCGGCCTGTCACTGAGGAGGAGGAGGAGAAGCCGAGATTTAGGAAGGATGGGATATAAAAATCATCAAACCATGTAAAAGACGACGAGTACTACCGAGGGAGAGGACTGCTCACCAGTACTGCCGCCAGTCTCCCTGCAGCTGATCTTCTGACTTACCATGCCTTGTCCTGCATTGCGTCCCTGCCTGTGTCCGAGGCGGCCAGCTCTCTGCCCGCGCCTGCCAGCTCACTGAATGCCCGCGCCTGCACAGAGGCGTACAGTCTCCCTGCACGCGCCTGCACAGAGGCGGCCAGTCTCCCTGCCCGCGCCTGCACAGAGGCGGCCAGTCTCCCTGCCCGCGCCTGCACAGAGGCGGCCAGTCTCCCTGGCCGCGCCTGCACAGAGGCGGCCAGTCTCCCTGCCCGCGCCTGCACAGAGGCGGCCAGTCTCCCTGCCCGCGCCTGCACAGAGGCGGCCAGTCTCCCTGCCCGCGCCTGCACAGAGGCGGCCAGTCTCCCTGCCCGCGCCTGCACAGAGGCGGCCAGTCTCCCTGCCCGCGCCTGCACAGAGGCGGCCAGTCTCCCTGCCCGCGCCTGCACAGAGGCGGCCAGTCTCCCTGCCCGCGCCTGCACAGAGGCGGCCAGTCTCCCTGCCCGCGCCTGCACAGAGGCGGCCAGTCTCCCTGCCCGCGCCTGCACAGAGGCGGCCAGTCTCCCTGCCCGCGCCTGCACAGAGGCGGCCAGTCTCCCTGCCCGCGCCTGCACAGAGGCGGCCAGTCTCCCTGCCCGCGCCTGCACAGAGGCGGCCAGTCTCCCTGCCCGCGCCTGCACAGAGGCGGCCAGTCTCCCTGCCCGCGCCTGCACAGAGGCGGCCAGTCTCCCTGCCCGCGCCTGCACAGAGGCGGCCAGTCTCCCTGCCCGCGCCTGCACAGAGGCGGCCAGTCTCCCTGCCCGCGCCTGCACAGAGGCGGCCAGTCTCCCTGCCCGCGCCTGCACAGAGGCGGCCAGTCTCCCTGCCCGCGCCTGCACAGAGGCGGCCAGTCTCCCTGCCCGCGCCTGCACAGAGGCGGCCAGTCTCCCTGCCCGCGCCTGCACAGAGGCGGCCAGTCTCCCTGCCCGCGCCTGCACAGAGGCGGCCAGTCTCCCTGCCCGCGCCTGCACAGAGGCGGCCAGTCTCCCTGCCCGCGCACCCACACACACGGGTTAGCACCCCCACCTCACCTTGGTCAGTGCTCTCTCTCCTTCGCGGACGCTCCCTTCGAACAGACACAACAGACTCGGTCTCTGTTTCCTGGTCCAGGTTCTCGGCGCTGTCAGATACATTTGGACTACGATACAGAGAAAAGTACAAATCTGCTCAGTGACGGAACGGACACAACGCTGCATTCAGCTCGGTAAGAGGCCGGGACACTGATCAGTCAGTGCCGATGTATACACTCACTGGAACGAGGGAGGGCGCGAGTCTCCGATGCCACTGGTCCTCTCCACAGGGGGTGGTGGAAGCGGAGGAGGAAGAGGGGAAGGTTCCGGTCTCGTCTCAGGAGGGGGAGGTGGTGGAATCTGATCAGGTTGTGAAGTCTCAGCAGAGACCAGCTATAAAGTTGAGAAGAAATCACTCGATTAGAGATCCCAGAGGGGTCACATTATCCAGCTCCACCCGTCAGCCACACATAGACCATACAAAGGACAATGGCTGGAGCTCATCTCTGACTTTCACTATTAACAGTTCACCGGGAGCCCCCCACAGACATTGCCAAGACCACATGAGGCCACCTACAGACATCCAATGACCATTGCCAAGATCACATGAGGCCACCTACAGACATCCAATGACCATTGCCAAGATCACTAAAGGTAACCATCCAATGGCCATTATTCAGCTAACCCAAGGTCACCCACAGACATCCAGTATCCAGTGACCAGATCCTCTGAAGCCACCCACGGAATCAAACATCCGATGATCATTGCCCAAATATACCATGACCACCTGCGCACATTGCCCAGACCACCCCTTGATATCCAATGGCCACTGCCCAATCAAACTAAGAAGGCCCCCTTTATTTACCAGGAGTTTATTCCAGATTATTCTCAGATCTCCACCTAACAAACATAACCATAGAGACACGGACCCTACCCATCTCAGACCTTTACCTACCAAAACACGACCTACACGGACCCTACCCCTGCCCATCTCAGACCTTTACCTACCAAAACACGACCTACACGGACCCTACCCCTGCCCATCTCAGACCTTTACCTACCAAAACACGACCTACACGGACCCTACCCCTGCCCATCTCAGACCTTTACCTACCAAAACACGACCTACACGGACCCTACCCCTGCCCATCTCAGACCTTTACCTACCAAAACACGACCTACACGGACCCTACCCCTGCCCATCTCAGACCTTTACCTACCAAAACACGACCTACACGGACCCTACCCCTGCCCATCTCAGACCTTTACCTACCAAAACACGACCTACACGGACCCTACCCCTGCCCATCTCAGACCTTTACCTACCAAAACACGACCTACACGGACCCTACCCCTGCCCATCTCAGACCTTTACCTACCAAAACACGACCTACACGGACCCTACCCCTGCCCATCTCAGACCTTTACCTACCAAAACACGACCTACACGGACCCTACCCCTGCCCATCTCAGACCTTTACCTACCAAAACACGACC